TTGTGGCGGTCAGTTTTGATATTGTGGGGGGCCGCCACAAATAAATCAATGTATGGGAAACACTGAGAAGATCTAAATATAATTTTTTTTAAATGAAACTTGCTTGCTTGAATTCTTTCATTTGTGGCGGTCAGTTTTGATATTGTGGGGGGCCGCCACAAATAAATCAATGTATGGGAAACACTGAGAAGATCTAAATATAATTTTTTTTTATGAAACTTGCTTGCTTGAATTCTTTCATTTGTGGCGGTCAGTTTTGATATTGTGGGGGGCCGCCACAAATAAATCAATGTATGGGAAACACTGAGAAGATCTAAATATAATTTTTTTTATGAAACTTGCTTGCTTGAATTCTTTCATTTGATATGGGTGTCTTTAAAGTGTTTTGTTAGTTTGGTGCGTTTCCTCATTTTGAGGTAGCCACGTCTCTTTTGCTTTTATGAAGAGCGTATCTGCACACCTTTCGAATAGCGCATCAAGAATTGGGTTGACCGGGTACTTAAAAAAAACCTGGTACCGTAACGTTTTTATTTTTTTAGTACCAACTTGGTACCGAAGTACCGGGTCTTTTGACAACACTAGACATAACTATTAATTAAATTTAATTAACCCTCATGTGATGTTCGGGTCCTTTTTGCTCTGAAAATGTTTTCTTTTTCCCGAAAATACTAGTTAATGTTACCGCATTGGACTGAAATTTTGTGACTTTGTTCACAAAGGGTATAACTACTTCTAATTTTTTTTTAATCATTTTCATACTTTATCAGATTCAGATTGATGAAATTATATTGGATGCAGTTCAGGGTAGGATGAAATAGAAAACTTGTAATACTCCCAATAGTTTGTATAAGTGTGTGTGTGTGTGTGTGTGTGTGTGCGCGTGTGTGTTAGCGTGAGTATGCATGCATCCAAACATGAACAGGTCCAAGGCCTTTATGTTTGCAAGCACACGTACATATGTGAACGTGAACATGATCAACATGCTCCTGAACACTAATAGTTTCTATTACTTTCATTCTTTCCCATTCACTTTGAATGGCTGGACATTTTTGACCGGGAACACCACACGTGTGACTTTGTGCCATTTTGTACTAAATAAAAGCCTTTCAAAACAAACTCCCTGATTAAACATTAAAGTATACTAGTGTGATAAACAGTGCAAATTTTCATCAGTTTTCATTTAATATTGTGAAAATTATTCATAAATAATGCTTTTTTCACTCAAAAAATGAGGTGCATTCTCTCAGATAAATGAGGCCTACGATTAATCAGAAGCAAATATAAACACAAAACCAGTCCTAAATGAAAGAAAAGAAGTTGACAAAAAAAGATTGAATTCAATCTTTGGTGATAATATAGCATAATGAGTGATTAATAAGCAATTTTTTGAGGCCGGGTCCTTCTTGCTCTGTAACCTCGTTAGTGTGGAAGGGTTCTGAACACAACACAAGGGTTAAATGCAGTCGAAATACATTTATTTTGTGCTAAGTATACTACAAATACATTTACATATTTATGTTCTTTGGGGGGGGGGGGATTCTAATGCTATTTCATGCATTCTGAGTTATTTACACTGTTAAGAGTTGGATTCGCATGCTTAACATGGCCAAAGTTTCAAAAAACTATTTGGACATATGATGGATTATTTCTGTGCCAAATACACTCCTTTCAGATTCATATAAGTTTCGAAAAAATATATTTTTTCAATCATGGCCCTCCATGACGTCATGAAAGATGGAATTCCTTGCATGGGCACTTCTCCCGGAAGAGCGCGCACACAGCAAACAGAGCAAGAGCAAGAGCCACCCATCAACGTGCTTCATTCGGGTCAAGGAAGTCGTCGTTATGACTGCACAGGACTTGCTCGAGAAGTCTCCAAAGAAGTAGGGATGCACGATATTGGATTTTTGCCGATATCCGATATTTTTCAACTCTTTTTGGCCAATAGCCAATACCGATACATTTCCTTCTGTTTGGAAACAACACCAAGTCTTTCCTGTGTGGAAATTATAAGCAAATTATTTTTAAGTTTGGTTAGTTTTTAAACGAACTTATTTGTTAGAATTAAATAAACAATAATGAAGTTCTTTTATAATGACAGTACATTGAAGCTTTGAAAATAACTATAAATAAACTATATATCAATCGCTGCATTTTTTTTTTTAAGAAAGATGCAGTTGTAACCATAACATTTTATTTTAAGATTTAACATTTGTAGATGGTCTAAAGCAAAAGAGTTCTGAAAATCTTTTAGAGCTCATAATTTGTTTAAAAATTATAACATTACACATTAATGAATAAATCAGTATATATAAAATTATTTACATTTTCAAGTGTAATTTTTGTGATTTTTTATTAATTTATGTAAACTATAGCTTCTGACCTTTAAATCAAAACATACTCATGATTTTATGACATCAATTACTGCTTTATTTAATCAGAAACACAGTCTAAATGTTATTTGTGTATTTTACTTTCATTTCATTAAAAGTAGGCCAACAGCGCCTCCTAAGGAATAAAAAAACTCCTTATGAACGGGCATTAGGACCGGGGGAAGCTGTCGCTGCACGTGCTATTACTGTTGACAATCATACACGTCATTCTGTACGTGCATTCACAGTTTAAATGCAGCTATCCAAAGCAGTGAATCTAATCACCATTCAGGCAAAACTTTGCTTCAAACATGAGTCACACTGCTGACATGATCTAATCGCTAGCACACCCTGAGCACATGTGAGTTAACGCATTCCTCTTATCGGCAAGACATATCAGCATAATATTTCATATCGGGCCGATGCCGATATGTACATTTAAAGCCATTATCGGCCGATT